CCATTTCGATGTATTTGTGGTTAGATAAATCCTCAGAAAATTTACAGCTGCTACACACTAGTTTATTATACTCCCTGCCTGTGCAGGCGACATAAGTGCAACAAAAATGTGATGTCTGCTCAGAGCATAGATTTTACTGATATTGCTTTACCGGTGTGGAAACATTTATCCGCTAAAAGTGGCATCTGCAGTTTCTTCCGAATATTTGCATTTGAGCATTAGAGAGGACTTGTAAACTTGCTTGCCACAGCCAAACATAGTGCAAATTCATTTGGTCTCACACAGTCCTCACAAAAAATCAGGTGGCTAGAGTTTTAGATGAAATGCAGAGCTATCATTTTCATTTGTGAGTGCAAGCTAGAAAATATTTTTCCGGTCTTTAAGGTTAGCGTACATTAATGTATAAACTACAGCCATGACGCTGCTGCTGAAAGCCTAATCCTTACTGACTTTGCTGGAGCTTTGAGTATAGGGGTCCGTTTACTCTGAGCAGCTTTGCAGGACGCAGACTCTATGTATACAAGTCACTGCTGGAGAACAGACCCTTCCGAAGGGGAAGGCAGCAAGCAACTGGCACACAACAGACTGAGCAGAGGACAAAACTCTGTCCAAGCCCACTGTGAGTAGAGCACATCTACGTGTAAGAAAAGGATCATACCATATTTAATGTTCAAAACAGCAGCTAGATGCTTGGTGTGAAATCCTCATCTCTGGTCCAGCTGTTGTGAGCAGGATGAAGATGCTGGAGTGGACCACATCAAGGCAGAGGTACATATTGCAACAGACCACACTTAGAAAGGTGCCCTCTGAAGACCTGTTCCAGAAATGACAGAACTGGGGCTTCAGCTATCCCAACAGCAGTGCAAGCCACAGATGATGTGGACCTTTCTGGGCTGTACCTCAGAGTTAGGACAGTGCTGAGTTATGAGTTATGGAGAGACACATACGGAGAATATTCCTCATGGGTTCTAAGAGTTCATCCAAAAAGCTCCTGTAAATGGCACAAAACTTAAATGTATTAAAGAGTGAAGGGGTTAAATATGTTCATCTCTAAAGTCTAAAAAACATGAGTGAAGCCACCAAAGCTCTGCTATAACACGCCTTCTCACTATCTTCTGTTCCTTCTTCTCAAGTTCCAATTTCTAATTGCCACATTCTTGCAAGTCTCCCCCAGAGAAGCAGTTTTCTTCTCAAGTTGCTTATTTCCCTCTCTCAGACCTCCTCTTGTTTCTATTCCTTACGTGTAGCAGTTTTGTTCCAAATGTACATATTTTATACTCCAAGCAATAAAAGTCCTTGAACTAACACAGTATGTTTTCACAAGTGCAGGTGTACATCCATAAATTAATTTGTCCAAAGCATTCTGGATAGTCATTGGACCAAATGCGAAGGGAAAAACCCCACAGTACAAACTTGTACATGAATCTTTCTAGCCTCCCTCCACTATTCAGAAAAGACTTCTATCCCCTCCCAATTTCCATATCCATAAAATAGGTTGCACTGCATACATACTAATTTCATATGTGCTAGAAAAGGATCATTACCCCCCCCCCCCACCCAACGTATTTTG